TGATTTGCCAACACCCCACCTGAGAACTAACCTACCGTGTTTTCCATGCTTCCAAATTGCTGCCTCACATGCCATCCACGCTCCAGGTAGGTCGACGAGGTTGCCCTGTTTTCCATGCTTCCAAATCGATGCCGTACAAGCAATCCGAGTTCAAGGTAGGTAGACGACGTATGCATCCACCCACCATGGATGGAAGGGCAGATGTTGAGAAACGTTGTTGATCACCGATATGTTTGTAGACTAAGAGGGAGACCAAGAGGGAGACCAAGAGGGGAACCGAGCAAGTTTTATAGAGTCATGTTCCGATACAACGCGGAAGAGGAAGAACTTCCGAAGAAGATGAGTGGGTCAACAGGAGTACTCTCCGATGGAGACAGCACCTGGAATCGAGGCAGATTATGAAAGAAGCCTCCAACAGCAAAGGAGGAGAAGAGCATGACGACAGTCCGAGCTACTGTACATTTTGTATACTAGATGTTTATATGATTACTCATAGAATCCAATCTCAGTTTACAGACTTGTTAATAGGTTCTCAAGGGGCTTCGAACTGCGGCGGAGGGAATGTTGGGCGCAGGGGGATTTGAACCCGAGACCTGGCCCAAGTGTGAAACAAAAACAAGCTGTGTTTATTTTGTTTTTCAAGTTTGCTGCCAGTCAGATAGGAACCTGGGACCTCCAAGTAAGCATACTGTTAGGCTGTTCTTGGACACATAGGAGGACCCTATCCCTATAGGACCTAGACCTCTAAAATTCTCTACGCCAGAGCCTGTAGGCCCAGGCAAAATTGGCATAGCACTGATAGCCGGCAAAATTGACATAGCAAAAAGTGATGAGTAAGGACTACTACAGTTCATTCACTTTTCAGTTTGTGATTTTGGTGGAGTGAGCGCCAAGCTTGGCACTTGGTAGCTGAAGGAGAGGGTTTGGGTGCAGCAGCCATAGCCAGTGTGTGTTCTGGCTCTATACTGCATGGTTTGGAGTACCATTTGTAGCAGACTGCTCAGCGCAGCCTGACCAGCCCTAAAATGGACATCACCTTTTTTTCAATTTTCATCAAGTGTGCTGGTGTGACTGTGAGCAATATGACCTTGTTGTTGTAAAGCTTCTCTCCAATTGCCATCTTCAAGATTGGTCTGCACTTCACTTCAGTTTGTTGGTTTGAGTGCTGCGCATCAAAACCAGTTGAAGTCCTAACAAAGGGGGTGCCTTATTTTCGTTAATCTTTGATTCCGTGAGGAATTTCGACATGACCCTCAGCCGAAAGTTATTTACGCTGCAATTCTATGCAACGTTATTGTTTTCCATAACTTTTTTATCTTCTTTGGTTTGCACTGGAGCTGTCCGGAACCCTGCCCGGGGGGTCATGCCCGGCTGGGCACCCTGGTGCATATCTGGGCACAAGTGGGGTGCTCGGGCGCCCTGAAAAACAGCCTACACATAAAGCTGATTGTGTGTGTGTGTGTGTGCGCGCGTTTAAAAAAAAAAAACAAATTATCTCTCTCCTTCCATCCAGGAATCATCACATACCATCCATATAGATAGACAGTCTAGTAGACGATGCAAGTTTGGCCACGTTCTTGTGGTTAAGCCCCAAGTGCCCACACACCCGTCCGCCGCCAGAGCGTCCCTCTTGTGTGTGTATATGTGTATATGTGTGTGTGTGTGTGTGCGTGTGTACGTGTTTTGTGTGTGTGTGTGTGTGTGTGTGTGTGTGTGTGTGTGTGTGTGTGTGAGAGAGAGAGAGAGAGAGAGAGAGAGAGAGAGCCACTGTCACTTACAATTTTGTGCAGGTCATGTAGCTGGCACATTTCAATTGGGGCTCAGGGCGTCTTGTGTGTGTCTTCGCCAATTTTTTGAACCTTTTCTTGTCTTTCTCTTCTCTTCTGTAACTCTGTTAGGACTTGAACTGAAGACCTGTTAGGATCATGGTAACCGCCCGGACGTCCGGACCGGGTTCCAGACAGTCCGGTGTCCGGTGTCCGGTCCCCATGTCCGGATGGAGGCCCCTGGGGCAAAAATCAAAAAAAAAAAAAGGGGCGGCCCAGGACGTTTGTCGGGTCCTAGCCGCCCCTCGAAAAATAACGGGGTGATTTTTAAGTGTCCTTTCACCCCACTGCACATGGCCTAGAGGTCCAGACACAAGACACTGCAGGTTTTTGAGGTGGCGGGTTTTGCACAGGCCCGAGCAATTTCAAAGCGGCCGTTTCGACGTGGCGCCCGCCGCCGCTGCCCGTCGGGGGCACAGAGAGAGTGAGAGAGAGAGAGAGAGAGCACTGACAATGCTGCGAGTCTGTAGTTATATATGAAGTTATGAACTTAAATTACTAAATCCAAAGTTCCAAGTTCAAAGTTAATCATACTTTTTTCAAAAAAAAAATCTCTGTTTATTTAGTCTTGTGCCTGCTTTGCACTGTTTGCAAATCTGCATGTCTGCTCGTTAAATGTGCTGGTTGATTTGCTGCAAGACACGTGCTCTGCTGCCTGAACTACAGAGTGCAAGGCAGGTAAGTGCCTGCCAACACCCCCCCCCAACCCCCCCCCCCCCGACTGTCTGGTGTCCGGTGATGTCCGGATCACCGGACAGTCCGGACCGGTCCAGACACTGGTCCAGAAGACAGTCCGGAAGTGTCCGGTGTTCGGGTCCGGGGTTACCATGGTTGGTTAGGATTGAGAGAATTTGAGACCCTTTTAGCCACAGCCCATGTGGCGCAAGGGTTCACAACTTGACGCATTGAACTGTTAATTAACAGGTCTCGAGTTCGAACTTGAGTTCGGATCTTGATGGAATGAGATGCGTACAATAAGGTTGGGACTTAGAGAACAAATTTCAGAAAAAGGATTGAGAGTGAGAATTTTTGAGACCCTGTGTAATTTGTGTTTGTGGGTGGAGCACAGTACCTTGTTTACCCTCTCCGTGAGGGTCACCTAAACCCTTTGTGTCCCCCTTCCCCTCCTCCTCCCCCTCTCTCCCCCTCTCTCCCCCTCCCCTACCGCCACGATCCCATCAATGCCCACCTCTGTTTTTTGGCTTCCATATCTTTTCCCTTTTTTTTCTTAAGGGGGTAGTAGAATCCTAGTCGATGTATAAAAGGTTATCAGTCCTCGAACTCTTGATCTGTTTAATGATTTCATCACAACTGTTGCACTTGTGTGGGATGAAGCCACATGGGCTAGGTTTGACGACTTCGATCACTGCCATCGATTCTTTTCTTTTTGTTCTCTCTCTCTCTTTTTTTTTTTTTTTTTTTTTTTAAAACATGCATTACATTGAAGAACCACACTCGCTTCCTTCCGTCTGGCCGAAGGACCCCTGAGCAGCATTGATTGCTCCACCTTGGTGGAGGATTGACTGTCAGCTTGCCGTGCTACACTCTTTCCTCGCAGACACTCTTTCCTCGCAGACCTGGAACCCCGATCTGTCAAATAAGTCTATTCCTTCTAGAAAGAGTTCGCCCCTTGTCAAGCTAGCGGATCAACACCCATTTATCCATCCTTCTTATGCGCCACAGCCTCCCATGTCCCTTCTTACCTGCCCTCCCCTTTTCTACACGCCACTAAAACCCTAGACCCTAAACCCTCGTTTGCTAACCATCATCACCAGCACCCTTTTGATTCTTAGGCAACTTGTTTGTTCTCCTTGAGTGATATGCAATCCTCTCTTTCACTGTAGCCTTGGGTCTCATCTTCTCGTCTCTGAAATGTCTCGTCGTTGTAGCAGACGTCGGTCTCCCTCGGGGGAGGTCCGCTCCGGATACGTTCTGCCCATGCGAAGTTGTCCGTTGCTCGTAGTTCCTTCTTTAATTGAGTTGCTCCAGTCTTTTTCAGCAAATGCAGTCCTCTCTTAGCTCTGCTGTTTTACCGCGTATCCGCCTGGTCCTGCTTAGTCTCAGTCTCGCCTTGCGTTGTTGTTCCTCGTCCGCTGTCCAAGATTAGTTGGGTCTTTCGCCGCCCCTTTATGATTCATTAGAATCCTTTCTCATTCCCTTTGAGTAATATTCCGTCGTCTCCTTCGGTATATCATGAACCACTTTCGTTCCACTCGGATCTGTCGCTCCGTTGCTGCAGCCATTGGTCTCCCTAGTGCCAGTTTGGTCAGAGTGTGTTTAACCCACCCGCCGTTGTTTGTTGCTGGTAGCCCCTCCCTGGATTGGAGTCGAGCCAGTCTTTCCAACAGATGCTGCGGTCTCTTCTCTTAGGTCCGCAACTTCGCCATGTACCGGCCAAGTTCTGCTGAAGCTGAGTCTCGCCTGCTTTTGTTGGTCCGCATCCTCTGTCCATGATTGCTTGATCCTCCGCCATCTGCAGAGGATTTCAGCTTGTAGCATCGTTTTTGTCTCGGCCCAAACGCTCTCGCGTGAATTGGCCACTCCTTCAATCGTCCTGCTGCATGTTTCCTTCCTTCCATATGATCCATAGCGTGACCTTGCGTATGATTCCGAACCAAATTCTTTCTGCCTTCTGAAACTGCTCAGGAATGTTAGTCAGGAGGAGAAGTTGGATGGGTTGCTCAGGGAAAAAGGGGGCAGGCGGGAATAGGGAGTCGCATAGTGCCGATGCTCTTGCCCAATAGTCCGTCGCCTCCCTACAGTGTATTAGACAACAGTGTACTATATGCTCTACCGCTACTTCTGTGCAGACCGTGCACTGATTGGAACTGTTGGGGTCTGAAGTTCTCTGAACCCTTTCGTCTAATGTGCCGCCATTGGTTTACCGGTAGTGCCGCATAGGCGATTAGCCATTGAAGGCTTCTAATTTTAATAATTGGTCTGATAGACGTGAACTTCTTCCACTGGATATGAGTGGGTTTGTATGCCTCCTGTCCCAATAGAGTCTCCCATCTTTTCTTGATGATGGGGTCAGGGTCTTTGGTTTTGAGCAACAATCTGTATCCCAGTTTKACTGTAAAAAAAAAAAAAAAAAAAAGTTTTATCAGACTTTTTTGTTCTATTATTATTATTATTATTATGCTTTATTAATGCATTTTTTATCTTATTTTGCAGGCGATTGGCGCTTACTGCCGGAATCTTCAGTCTCTAAACTTGGGCTGGTGCGAACGCATTACCGACATAGGAGCGCAAGCATTGGCGGAAGGCTGCCCAGATCTGCAGAACCTGGACTTGTGTGGTTGCTTGCATATTACAGGTAAGGACTCTTGCTGGTGCTCTCCTCTTTTTTTTTTCTTTTTTCTTTTTTTGTAGCCATGATGTCATGCTCGGAGTCTGTCCGACTCTTCTCAATTTTGTTTTTCAGACTTTTTCTTGTTTGCGTATGTGGTCGGAGTCGTCCTTGCACAGGGGCCACGTAAAAGTACTCTTTCGTGAAGGGTTTTTTTTTTTTTTTTTTCCCCTTGACCCCCTTCCACCTGTGGAAAAGTAGGCTTAAAGCACCAGTACGTGGCCCAGCTATTGGCGGCCGAAAAAAATAAGAGTATAAACGTTTCTAGTCGGATGAATTTGGGCACTCCTGTAGTGGCCCGTACGTTTCCTAAAATCGAATCGTGGCTTGTTAGAGCCGGGCCTGACGACGGCTGCCATTGATAAATAGATCTCATCGGGTGGCGGTCGTTCCGTTTCGTTTCGGCCCTCGTAAAGGTCGGAGGCCCGCCCGAGGCCCGCTATTTCCCCACTCGGAAAAGGTGCTAGTGGTTTAACCCAAATAGAACGCCCGGTAATTATCGCCGTATCGGGGCTGAAAGCTGTGCCAAATACAGCTATAATGACCGGGCGTTCTATTCGGGTGAATCTGGGCTGAAAGCTGTGCCAAATACAGCTATAATGACCGGGCGTTCTATTCGGGTGAATCTGGCCTGAAAGCTGTGCCAAATACAGCTATAATGACCGGGCGTTCTATTCGGGTGAATCTGGGCTGAAAGCTGCCAAATACAGCTATAACGACCGGGCGTTCCATTCGGGCGAAGACGGTAGTGGTTGAACCCTAGGCAGTTAGCAGAAACTACTAAGCTGGAGTCCGGTAGAGGCAGAGGGAATTTCCGGTGGATCGGCGAAATGTGTAGATAACGCAAAGAACGGCCAAGGTGGAAGCACTCTGCTGGGCCGGTACTGCTGACGCTGAGAGACGAAAGGCAGGGGAGCAAATGGGATTAGATACTCCAGTAGTCCTAGCTCCTCATGCTCTGCTCACACCTCCATAGCCCGGCCGGTGGATCTTCTCCCTCTACCTCCACAGCCTGGGGCTTTTTCTTCCTCCCTCTACTACTCCGCCATAGCCATGGAGGCCTTCTTTTCCTCGCCCTTAGCTTCTCCTCCAACCTCAAGTGCTTCGCCTCACTCTCCCTCTGGGCGGGACGAAGGGCGGAGAAAAGGTGGAGCTGCCTTTGATGTGACCAAATGCAGCTTTTTAAAAGTTTTTTTTCTGTGTTTTAATTAAGAAGAACAGGTAAAAAAAAAAAAAAAAAAAAAAAAAAAGAACAGGTGCTTATGGCCCTGATTTGTGTTACCGGGGGGTCGCCCGCCCGGGCAAACCTGCACGGGGGGCGACCGGCCTGGGGTACCTGGGGGTGGCACCAGAAGCAGAAGGTTTTTTTTTTTTTTTTTTTTTTTTTTTTGTTTGTTTGTTTTGTTTTGGGAAGGGGGGCAATTTTGCGGCCACTGCGATGTTCCCAAGTCCGGCCTTATCTTTGAAGTCGGTGATGTCTTACCAAAGGGTATCAATGGGGTCTGAAAGCATTTTAAAGGGGCTTACAGGGGGGGTATCATATAATTTACTATTTAGTATTTTGTTTTTATTTTTTATTTCGGATTCCATCACAGATTTCGGGTGTACCCTCAGCCAAAAGTTGTTTGATTTGTAATTCTGCATGACACCACGTAAATGATTTCAAAAGACCGCACCTATAATAGCGAACAATCTACATGATGCAATCAGGAACGCCTCAGGGGCAGACTGATGTACATGAAGACGCTGCCCATGCAGACCTTCACATAACACCACGCACGTGTCTCTCTCTCCCGCACACTCATCCGCTGTCTTATCCCGTGCCCAGCAGCTTTCTCTCCCAGCGCCCGTGTGCTCTCCTTCTGGCCAGCGCTCTGCCCCGCCGTGCGCCGGAGCAGAGCTCACGCACGCACTTCCAGCCAGACAGTGTTCTGGACTGGGGCAAGCACTTTTCTTCATGGAAACATTGGAAAGTGAGTGGCTGGCGAGGGCCTGGCCTGGCTGCATGCCTGAGAGGCTGAGTCCTAGTAGCTGCGCCCTAGGGCCCTTTCCGAAGGTTCCTAGGGCTCAAACTGTAAGGGTCCTGGGCCTCGGCATCTGAGGCTGGCAGCATCTTCAGCTGCCGGGCCCTACCCGGTGGTTGACGATGTTGCGAGGCCCAAAACCACTACGCGAGACTCTTCTGGAAGCTGCCACTCTCCAACCCACTTGCGGGGCCCCTTTTCTTTCCAGCAACTGTTTGGGGCCCCCAGTGATTCAGGCCGAATGGAAATTTCAGGCCCGCCTTCACTTAGGGCGGGCACAATAGGCCTCTTCGGCCGCGACGAGGACTCTGATCCTCGCATTGAAATTAATTTATAAATTAATAAGACAAGTGGACCTGCCGCAGCTACGTTGCGGCGAAGTTGCGAAAAAAAAACGGGGATTGAGAAGCGGGGGAAAAAAAAAAAAAACGGGGATTGAGAAGCAGTCGTAATCACAGTCCACAGATTGAGAAGGGGGGGGGGGAGAACAGTCAAAATTTTCGCAAAACAACCCCCTCCTCTTTCCTCCATCACCTCTCCTCGATCCTCCTCCAGGCGCCATCATTTTTGTCCTAATCCTCCCCCTCTCCCAACCTCCTCCTCTCCCTTGTGCAACCTCCTGCTCGTCGTTGCACGACCTGCTCCTCCCCCTCTCACATCGTCTTCCGACCTCCCCCTTCCCCTCTTCCCACCTTCTCCTATCCCTTGCGTGACCCCCTCCTCCCCCTCGCACGACCTCCTTTCCCTCGCGCGACCTCCTCCCCATTGTGCGACCCTCCTCCCCCTTGCTCGACCTCCTCCTCCCCCTTGCACGACCACCTCCTCCCCCTCACGTGTCCTCTTCCCACCTCATCATCCCCCTTCCCTCTGGCACGACCTCCTCCTTGCATGACCTCCACCTCCCCCTCTGACGTCCTCTTCCAACCTCCTTCTCCCCCTCTGATGTCCTCTTCCAAGCTCCTTGCCCTCTTGCGACCTCTTCCTGCACTTGCACGATGTCCTCCCTTCGCAACCCCCTCCTTCCCCTATTCCGACGACCTCCTCCCACTTGCACAGCCTCCTCCTCCCCCTCACACGACCTCCTACTCTCCAAACGACGCTCGGATAGAAGCACACGAAAAACTTGCGGCCCTCACATCCGCACCGTCCCTCACGTGTGTGTGTGTGTGTGTGTGTGTGTGTGTGTGTGTGTGTGTGTGTGTGAGAGAGAGAGAGAGAGAGAGAGAGAGAGAGTTAGTTTCCCAGCCTTGCACGCAGAGAGATAGAGAGAGGCTACTTCTATTGATAGGATGAGCAAAATCGGAATGAATCTTCCACTGGAATATGGAAATATACACTGCTTTCCAGCCATGCGCGCAGAGAGATAGACAGAGGCTACTTCCATCGAAAGGATGAGCAAAATCGGAATGAATCTTCCGCTAGAACATGGAAATATACACTGCCATTTTTTTTATTTTTTTTATTTTGTGTATGTGAGAGAGAGAGACAGAGAGACACACAGAGAGAGGGGGAGAGAACAGGTAAGTCTCCAACCTCACGGCTGGCCTCATGCTACTGCCGTCGATAGGATGAGCAAAGTCTAATGAATCTTCTGCCAGAACATGGAGATATACACTGCCGCACTCGTACAAACTCCCGCCCCCCACATCCACACTGTGACTCACATGTGTGTGTGTGTGTGTGTGTGTGTGTGTGTGTGTGTGTGTGTGTGTGTGTGTGTGTGTGTGAGAGAGAGAGAGAGAAGTCTCCAACCAAGTCTCCAACCTTGTGGCTGGCCTCACGCTACTTCCATCGATAAGATGAGCAAAATCGAATGAATCTTCGGCTAGAACATTGAAATATACACTGCCACACTTGTAGAAACTCACGCCCCCCACATCTGCACCGTCCCTCACGTCTGTGTGTGTGTGTGTGTGTGTGAGAGAGAGAGAGAGAGAGAGAGAGAGAGAGAGAGAGAGAGAGAGATCATGGCGATCGTTCCCGACACCCGGACATGACCCCACCCCGCGATGTTCCACCGTAATGCTACCAGTTTTGAGCCCGCCCGGCATCGAACAAAACTGGCGCGGACTTTTTTGCTCACTCCCCCGCAACGGGGTAGAGTGAATGCACCGAATGCAAAGCACGCTAGCAGTATCGAACGGACCTTTCGCGAGTCCCGGGTATGAACAACGGCTGAGTTGGAGGCCCGTAGAAAACTTTCCAAAACCCGTATCACGACAACGTACACGGAAAAAAACGCACGGCACATGTAGCAGATTCTGCTGGGCCCGTGCCCCCTGTCCCGAGCCTTTTCCCAAGACTGGAAGCCTGGCCTGTCGGGACCATTACGCCAGACCCGGCTTACTCTTTTGTAAGAGTATAGATGAGGACATTGGGGAGGTGATTATGTGAGGGAGGTTGACTGATGATGATGAGAGGAGGGGGAGATGACATGCGCTCAATCTTGTGTTTCTCTTCTTCTTCTTCTTCTGTCTGTCTTCATTCTCTTCTCCTCTCCTGGTCTACTACCCACTTCTTCTTGACTTCCAAACTTTTGATCTATATCATCATCTCGAAGTCGTCTTGTGTGTCTCTTCTTGTTCTTTTGTCTGTCTTCATTCTCTTCTCCCCTCCTGGTCTAATTCCACTGCTTCTTGAGTTTCGAGCTTCTGATCTATAGCATTGTCTCATCTTGTGTGTCTATTCTTGTTGTTCTGTCTGTCTTCATCCTCCTCTCCTCTCCTGGTCTAATTCCACTTATTCTCGAGTTTCGAACTCTTGATGTATAGCATCGTCTCAAAGTTAAGGGTCTTAGTTTCTGAATTGAGCAGGACCACAGACAAAAAAAAGGGAAAAAAGAACAAAAAAGCAAGACCAGGAAAAAAAAAAGCAGGACCATTGCTCGTTCATGTATGTTCCTCCCATCCCTCCTCTCTACTGACGCTGCCCTCATCATCTCCCACCCT